TTGTTCTGTCAAAGGATGTGAATTTGACTTTTTTTCTGACTTGAAAAGCAAAACTCACCAGTAAAGGTGACTTGAAAAACAAAGTGGTTATTACTAGTGCATGAACAAGTAAAGTGTATAATATATAACAAAAGAAAAAGAAAAGAAAGATGTGAATTAAAGAGAAGGCAGGGAGGGCCCCAAAAGCGAAGTTGTAAAGTTGTAATGTAGAATATATAAGGCTATTTAGTTGTGAAGTTGTAAAATCAACCATTTTTGGACAGCTAAGATGTTATCTCTTTTAGTGACTGATTTCATAGTAAAATTGGATAAGATTAGCTTACCCTATCCACCATTCTAATCTGGTCTTCCAAACACGTTAAAACTTAAAATGCTCAATTGGTCAGTATTATCGTACATCTCTAATGTTTTACTGAATAGTGACACTCAATTGTTTTAAATAGAAGCTTGTTATCATGATTTGACATTTTTCTATCTAACCAGGGGAAGCTATTTTCAGATTCTGAATCAATACAAGTAAGAGTTGATGCAGTAGTGCTTCTTAAGCAGTTGGATTTTTCGGTTTGTACATTTTTTATAAATAGAAGAATTGCATTTTTCATTTTAGTTATGTTAATGGGATTTATCAGCTTAGCTAGTAATTGTTTTCTGAATTTTAGTATTGCAGAACTTTCCCCATAATGATTTATTTTGGCCAAGGGAAAGTTGATACGGATTGCATAAACATGTTCTTGGAAAGTGAAATCGGAACTAATCCAAAATGCTTATTTAATTTAAGCAATCATGTTAGTTGGCCACTAAGTACTTAATGGTAGTAGAAAATTAGAAGTATAGGACATTGCGTTCAGGTGTAAGCCTATAACAGGACGTCTCACAGAGACCATATTCTAATGTAGAAACATAATCTCTTTGCAATAAATATCACAGGGATTAGGATATGAAATAGGTCCACATTAAAGTTGTGTCATGATTTTTGGAATTATAAACTGAGTGCAGTATTTTTTACAATCCATATAGGATTTTCATATAAAGTAAACGAAATAAGTTGAATTTCCACAACTAAAAGTTTTCCAACCCCTGAATCTTTTGTCCTCAAAAGGGGTGCTCTTATTTGCATGCTTTCAAAACTAGAGATGGAATAAGAGGCGATGAAAAATTATCTAGGTCCCAGTATCCATTTAATATATAATATATTTTGCCTGCATAAGCGCTAGAGATGCACCTATAGATACTAAACTAACGCACTCAAAAGTTATGTATTGATCATAATTAGTTAATTGCATCCCCCAAATTAAGCTTTATCTTGCAAATGATTGTGTCTATCTATGACTTTATTTAATTTTTATTCAGATACTAATGCTTAGCAAAATGACCTATTGTAACTAATTTAAAAAGGGAAAATAAATCTGAAGGCTGAAAGAGTCAAGCTAAACTTTACCGGAGCAAACATAGAAAATCATAAGTTTAAGTTAGTGCAAAGAAATTTTGATTGTCAAAAATGTATTAGATAAGAAATACTGAAGTTCACTGAAATCTTCGTGATATTGTTTTGGGAAACTTTTGACACTGACTTGATCAGTAATACGAAAATTTTGATTGTTTATTTGTTGCCTCTATCATCTCTTTCAGAGTCAAAGAGGTTAATATACCTGAAGGTTCTAGTAAGTTTTCCCTCGTAAATGTACACCTTATCACTAATGCTTTTCAGTGAAGCCATTTGGGGTATTTCACTCATAACAGAAGTTCAGAATTATCTAAGAACCCTCTAAAGTCAGGTTCATGACAAAATTATTTCAATCTTCAACTGCTTCAATATATTGTACTTTATCTCTCTATATTTGTTAGTACATGTCCACTGTTACAATGATTTATTCACAACTATCCAAGAAAAGGCACCAAACAGTGGTAGATTGCAATTTGGTCTTATTTCATTATGTACATGTACACATTAATTTAGTGCCATTTCTTTTACTATTTAGTACGTGTTGAATATGTAAATGTAGCAATGGATGGTTTTGTTTCAATTGAATTAAATGCACATTGGAGTTACTCTTTATTAGAAAACTTAGTATTAAACTTAAAGTCCTCTAATTGTCTTTTGCAGTAAAGTTTGGATTTGTCATATTTAAAGGGTCTTTATGAGTTTGCATTTGACGTTTCAGAAATCTCTTACCCATTGAATGTGTTGTTTTCTTTCTCATAATTGTTATAACTTATTTAATCCATTAACCATTTTGACATGCTTTTTTTATGCAGGGAATAAATCGTGAAACCAGATCTTGTTGGGCTGCAATTTGGAAAGTTCTTCAAACACGTCTACTTCCACCACCTTAGGTTTCCAACTGTCAATATCTTCGTACTACTAGGTAGTTTTAGTGGCAGAGGTATAACTTCTAGCAAAGCCTATAAATTTTGTGTAATTATGTTAGCATATGATAGGACATGGATGTTAGAGTTTTTAATGTAACTATATTATGGATAATTATATGGTATATTAGTTATTAAAATAAGTCATTTGTTGGCATATGACAGAACATGGATGTTTGTGAAAATCGTAGTTGGATGTGTAATAGACTTGTACCTAGTCGAAAGGGGTATACTAATGCATTTTCAAATGGTGTGACTGAATTTGTGTTATTTTCTCTTCAACATGCAAATATGTAAAATGGAAAAATTAGATGTCCATGTAGTAAACGCAAAAATAAGAACTTTTTACATTCTGAAGATGTTCAACATGCATATTGGTATTGGACATGTCATGGAGAAATGGATCCAAATATGTGTGATGTGAATAATATGTATCCAAATTCATCTAATAATGCACACGAGGTTCATAGAGAAGACTTTGACAACATGATTCATGATGCTTTAGGTACAGAGTTTGTGAGTCATTTTGATGAAGAAAATGAGCAGTTTCCAAAATATTGAAGCAAAGAAGTTTTATGATTTATTACATGCTTCACAAAAACCATTGTGGCTAGGATGTACTAATCACACTGAATTATCTGTTATTGTTAGATTGTTGACAATTAAATAAGAGGGAAACATGTCCCAATGATGTTTTAATCAAACATTGGGTCTTTTGAAAGAGACACATCCTATAGATAATTTTATCCCAGAAGATTACTATAGAACCTTAAAATTGGTTTCAAAACTTGGTTTATCAGTAGAAAAAATTGATTGTTGTGTTGATGGGTGTATGTTGTTCTACTCAGATGAAGATAAACAACTATTTACATGTAAGTTTTATCAAAAACCTCGTTATAAGACAAAAAAAGTGGGTAGAGGTAAATATAAAAATGTCCCTGTGAAGAGAATGCATTATTTACCCCTCATTCCTAGGCTTAAGAGATTATATGCTTCAATGAGTTCTACTCCGCATATGAGGTGGCATTGTGAAAATAAGAGAAAGGAGGGACATTTGTGTCATCCATCAGATGGAGAAGCATGGAAACATTTTGACAAGACATTTTTTGATTTGGCAATTGAACCAAGAAATGTAAGATTAGGATTATGTGTTGATGGTTTCACCCCATATGGTCAATTAGGAAAACCATATTTTTGTTGGTCAGTGATTGTAACTCCTTACAATTTACCACCACAATTGTGCATGACTACCCCCTATATGTTTTTAACTTTAATTATTCCTGGGCCAAAAAATTCAAAGGAAAAAATAGATGTATATTTGCAACCTTTGATAGAAGAGTTAAAAATATTGTGGAATGAAGGTGTGTTGACATATGACATTTCCAAAAAACAAAATTTTATGATGAAAGTTGCATTGATGTGGACTCGTTAATGATTTTCCTGCATATGGTATGTTGTCTGGTTGGAGTACAAGCTGGAAGATTGGCTTGCCCATATTGTATGAATAATTCAAAGAGTTTTTGGTTGGATAGTGGTCGTAAGTTTTCTTGGTTTGATTGTCATCGTCAATTTTTGCCTATGAATCATGCATATCGAAGAAATAAGAATGCATTTTTAAAGAATCGAATTGAAGATTCTCAACCCCTGTTGATATTTTCTGGGGATGATGTGTGGGAGCAAGTTGCTTATTTTCCAAAAGTAACTAAGGAAGTACAATTTACATGTTATGGTTGTGGTTTATATCATAATTGGATAAAACAAAGAATTTTTTTGGGAGTTACCATATTGGAATTCCAACATGTTAAGGCATAATCTTGATGTCATGCATATTGAGAAAAATGTGTTTGATAATGTGTTTAATACAGTGATGGATATCAAAGATAAGACCAAAGATGATATGAAGGCAAGAATGGATGTAAAAAATTATTTTCGGAGAAAGGAGTTAGAATTTCAACAATTACCTAATGGAAAAGTTATAAAGCCTAAAACACAAATTGTCTTATCTAAGGAGCAAAAAATTATTGTCTATAAATGGATTAATGAGTTGAGAATGCCTGATGGTTATGCCTCAAATTTGCAAAGATGTGTAAACATAGAACAAGGAAAAATGATTGGAATGAAAAGTCATGATTGTCATATATTTATGGAGCAATTAATTCCTATTGCTTTTAGTGCACTGTCAAATCAAATTTGGAAACCAATTGTTGAGTTAAGTAAATTCTTCAAAGATCTATGTTCAACTATTTTGCGAGTGGATGATTTGTTATTAATGGAACAAAACATTGCAATTACATTATGTAAATTGGAAAGATTCTTTCCACCTGCATTCCTCAATTCAATGGAACACTTACCTATTCATTTGCCTTACGAAGGAAGAGTAGGAGGTCCTGTTCAATATCGGTAGATGTATCCATTTGAGAGGTACTACTTTTTAATTATTAAATTTGAACATGCATACTTGTCTTATTTAAAATTATAATAACCATATGATGGTCTTATATTAGGTACTTGAATAAGCTAAAAAAAAAATAATTAAGAACAAGGCACGTGTGGAAGGTTCAATATGTGAGGCATATCTAGTACAAGTGACTTCTCATTTTTGTTCATATTATTTTGAGACTCATGTGCAAACAATGAGAAATAAAGCCAGTCGCAATGATAATGGAGGTGAACATGTAGAACTAGATTGTGTATCAACAATTTTTAATCATCCTAGTCGCTTTAGTGGAAGATCTTCATGTCGATACTTAAATAAGAAAGAATTAGAAGATGCACATTTGCATGTGTTACATAATTGTGAAGAAGTTCAACCATTAATCAAGTAAGAACCAAAATTCATTTTGGCATACATTTTTCATGCATAAAACCACTAACACAATGTTATGTGTAAATGTTAGAATATTTGAACAATTTCTAGAAGCAGTGAATCCAAACATCACTCAAAGAGAAATTGAGGCTCGGATTGCTTCTGATTTTCCTAGATGGTTTCAAACATATGTAAGTTTTAAAAATATTTTGTAAATCAATGATACGAATAATTTATGTTCTCACATTAACCTATTCATTCATACTATGTTTATCATTCGTTTAGGTTCACGAGAGGAACAATATGGTTCAAAGTCAATTTTTACATAACTTAACATGGGGTCCACGAAAAAAGGTTTTTACATGGGTTATTTATTTTGTCAATGGTTTCAAGTTTCATACGGAAGAATGGAGCATTGGAAAGAAAACTCTCAATTGTGGAGTTTGTGTTAAAGGGGATGATATTGAAAATGAAGAAAACTATTATTATGGTATCATCAAAGAGATTATGCAACTTGAATACGTAGGAGAGCCAACAAAAAAATTAGTTGTATTCAATTTCCAATGGTTTGATTATAAAAGGAAACGTGGTGTACGAGTTCACAAGGAATATGGTATAGTGGAGGTTCATCATCGCAGAAGGTATTTGAATTATGATCCTTTCATACTTGCATCAAATGCAATTCAAGTATATTATATGACTTATCCTGAAAAGGTTAAGAAAAAGGTAGATTGGTGGGTTGTAATTAAAACCAAACCAAGAAGTATGGTTGATGATCAATATACACTAGAGGTTGCCTATCAACATGGTCTTAGTAATACTCAACTTGTGTCAACTGATGAAGTACTTGGTCAATTAAGAGACAATGAAAGTGAACATGAAGAGCTAGTAGAGAATGAATTACTTGATGGAAATGAACACAATGAATATAATGTGGAAGATGCAGAAATCAATGAAAAAGAGTATGATGAGGAAAGTGAATTTAATGATGATTACAACTCTGATGATGATCAAAATGTTGATGACTCATATAAATTTGATGAAGAAAGTGATGTTCATGTCGATGATGAATGATTTTTGTATTTTCGTAAATGGATAGTATTTAATAATTATAAGCACACTTAATAATGTTTCCATCAAATTATTTTTTTATTGTTTGAAACATTTCAGTAAATATGTTATTTTTTAATTCATTACTATTACTTCTTAAATATATGCAATTTACTCATACATTTTTGTTGTTTTTTGTTATATTTGTAGATGTCGGACAAAAGGAAAACCAAGCTTATTTTAAAAAGTCGTTTGATGAAGTATCAATTCAATCAATTACCAAGAAATAGCATAGTTGGACCACAAGTTGGAAATCCATTAGTTGGAACTATTGCAGAACATGTTAGTTCTACCATTTCAGTGCAAAATAAGTCTACTGATGGTCGTACTCCACCACTTGGAGGAAGTTCTAAATCTCTTCCATTAACTTCTCCATCATTAGGAGCATAATCACCACATGAGACACCTTCCCCACAAAGTCTTCAAGCATCTAACCCTCAAACTGAAGGCACGTTTGTTTCTCATGATGATCACAATGTCTCAGATGTTCAGAGAACTTGTGATAAACCCATTTTAACACTTGATGGATATGGGTAAATCACTTAAATTTTAACAATTTTATATTTTGTTCACATTCTATAAAACTTGTACTTTATGACTTTATTTGTGTTTTAGATTTTTGCCTTCATACTTTGCAGTTAATTCCATTGGTGATATTTTCAAAAGTCATTACACTGATGCATGGTCATCATGGAAAAAGGTACTTGAAGCTATTCGAGACATGTGGTTTAGTGAGTTCATGGTATGCATTTATATTAGTTCTTAACTTTAAAATAAGTTCTAATTATTAAATGTACTATAACATTTACTTGTTTTGTTTAGGTACAGAGAAAATATACTATTTTTTCACCTGATCATAGGTTGGCTAGAGGGAACTTTGAAATGCGAGGTGCAAACATATTGAAAAGTTCACTAAACAAGGCACGCATGATAATGAAGAAGCCAAATTGGCTTGCAGAATATGTATGAGATATCTTATGCCAACATTGGGGATCAACACAATTCAAAGTAAAAAGTTTGACTGCAAAAGCAAATCGAGCTTCTGATTGTGGTGGACTTGAATGTCACTCCATACTGCTGGTTCCATTAGCATTTCTCAACATAGAGAAAATTTGGTAAACTTTGCTTTATACTGGTTTATGAATGTATTGGTCCTATGCCAGAGGATGAGTCTGATGTTTCATCTATTTGTGTATCACCCTTGAATCCAATCTTCGTAGCATTAGTGTTCTCCTTCACATAAGAAATATTCGAAGTATCTTTTGTTTCACTCATTTCAGTGTTATTGTTGTGTTTCATTTGATGCCACAGATTTTGTTGTCTTTTCTAATTCACCACCCTCTACATTAGAAGATTCACCTGTAGCTGCATCTCCCTTTTCTATTTCAACAAGGACTGCTAAGTTAGAACCTGGATTGTTTTCTTCAGACACCCTATTGCCACCCTGCACTAATCCTTATGTTGGCATATTTTTTACATCTTCAGCAATTATTGTGTTCACGGTACCATTTTCAGTTTGGTTTATGTGAATTATACAGTTGGACTATATTTAAGTGTGGAAAGAATGTAACATTAGTTAGTTCAAATTTGATTGCATGATGTTGTTTATGTTGTAAGAGAAAAATAGTTATTACATTACATATAGTCATGACTTGACAAACTTCTTTTCTTTTATGGTGGATATTGCACTTCTAAGTTTGTGTTCTTAATCATATTTTAGACAAAGTTGAATGGAAAACCCCCTACCCCATCAGAGTTGTTTCGCAAAACACACCAACGAAAGGATAACACATGGGTGGATCAAAGATCAACACATGTGGATGTAAGTTCCTTATTTTTCTTTATATGTTAATTTCTTAAAAAATTGTATACTTTTTTTTGTTTTTATCCAATTAACTACTATTTTATTTTAATATTTATAGGCAGAGTTTAGTCGTGCATGGGAAGAAGCCTCCCAATCAGGATCTATTGCAGGAGGCTCTCCACCTGATGAATTACAGGTTTGGTGTAAAGTTGCTGGAATAAACAAAGGCAAGGTATATGGGCTTGGATCTGAGTCAAGCAAAGCAATTGGGAGAAATCTTTGTCAGGACTTTACGTCATCATCTGTCCAGCTTATGAGAGAGGAGATTGAACAATTAAAACACAAGTTACATGAAGTTGAGATTGAAAGGGATGATCTCCGTGGAAGAATGTTAACCAATGAGAGACAAATTCAGAAAAATGATAAAATGCTGCTCCTCTTGATGGAGAAGATGGATGTTTAACTTCCTGAATTCTGAACTAATACTTCTATTCTATATATTGTATTTATTTTGTTAGTTTCTGACATCTCTAGAATTATATATTGTATTTTTTTTTGTTAGTTTCTGACATCTCCAGAATTAACTCTTACTTTAGTTTATTCTACTTATTTTTAGATTGAATTTTCAATATGTAAGAAAATATTTAATCTATCAATGATGAATTTATGTAGAACAAAATTTGTGGTATTATTTTGATGGTTATCTTAGGTAGTGTAATTTGTTATATATTTAATACAATATATAATGTATTTCATATTCCTTAATTAGGTTTATCGTTAATTAAAAAAAAATTAGTGACCGATATAGTGACCGATTCGATCGGTCACAAAATCGGTCACTGAATCAGTCATTGAATCGGTCACTGATTTGGTCACTGATTCGGTCACTGATTCTGTCACTGAAATCAGCGATCAAGGAAAGAGTGACCGATTTGAGTTGGTTACTATTTCAGTCACTATTTTAGTTAGTGACCGATTTTGGTCATTTAGTGACCGAAAATGTGATCACTATTTGATGTTTTTGTTGTAGTGTGTTGCCCTTCGCACTACATGGATATCGCACCTCTGTTTGAACTTCTACAGGGGCAACTCCATATTCTTTGGTGTATGGGATGGAGGCAGTGCTTCTAGTTGAGGTAGAAATTCTCTCTCTAAGGGTGTTAGCTGAAACAAAACTTGAAGAGACTGAATGGATTCAGACTCGTATAGACCAATTGAATCTTATTGAAGAAAAAAGGTTGATCGCCCTATGTCATGGACAGTTGTATCAAAAAAGGTTGAAAATATCTTATGATAAAAAGGTTCGTCCTCAACAATTTCATGAAGGAGATTTGGTCCTTAAAAAGATTTTACCAACTCAGAAATATCAAAGAGGAAAGTGGATGTCAAATTACGAAGGACCATATGTGGTAAAGAAAGCTTTTTCGGGAGGTTCTCTTGTCCTTTCAAACATGGATGGTAAAGATTTATCACTTCCAATCAATTCTGACACAATTAAGAAATACTATGCATAAAAAAGAGAGAAAAAGAAAAAGGGTTCGCTAGGCTGAAAATCTGGAAAGACGGTCTAGGAAAAATTGAGCAACCCAATAAGCTAAAAACTCGGAAGGAGCAGTTTAGGCAAAATAGGGGCAAATAAAATTACTTGACTGAAAACCTGAAAAGAAGGTTTATGTAAAAGCCAAAGCGACCTACACTGCCGAAAGTTCAAAAAGCGGGGGCAAGTAAGAATATTGATATACACAAAGCTACTCAAGGGATGAAACTAAATTTGTCATATGTTTGCAAAGGTTGACAGATGAGTTCTTCAAATTTGTAAACATGAGGATTAACATTGTTACCAAAAAAAACCCCTCAAATTTTCATGTATTCATTAAACAAAATTGTTCCTGTATGTACTCTTTCCATTCCTATCAATAAAAAGTTGTCTCAACCACCACCTCTTTGTGTCATTTCATCATGAATATACCAATAAAGGGACATATCATAATGTTAAAAATGCATTATAATAAAAAAATGAAGTGATGTGGGCAAGGACAACCAATTGTTCAAAATATTAAAGCATGACCATGATCCGATTGAAGAAGACGAACTCAATACA